CACAAAGCAATATTCGGTCACTAGGAAAATGACAGCAAGTGACTTCTGCTTCACTTTCTTCCAGTTGGAAGCACCTCTTTTTCCACTCTACTCCCACCACTGCTCACTCTATTCCTTTCTGCTGACAAGCGCTTTCCTATCCTCTCTAGGCAGAAAATTCTACTCTTTCCAAGGGAAAGAATACACCTGTCCCTCAAAAGCTCACCTCTTCCCAACTCAATCCTTGCATTCACTCGGGCTGTGGTATCGAGTCACCTCCTAACAGTTATTATCTAATTGTGTCTTTGGATGTTCCCTCCTTATTGCTCTCAGAGCGCTGATAGTTTTTAATGTGTTGTGTACATTCTATAGTAATAACCTGCAGTGCATATAATCTAAAATTTGCAATGCCAGAATTTATGGTTATTCCTTTAAGATAACTGCAGAACAATTACATCAATCAGCAGTAGAAATGAATTATGATTGTCACATGTGCTTCAACAAAATGCCTGCATTTACTGCAACTGTCTAGTCACAAAGAATTCTTTAAGGGCTAACTTTATATCTGGTGAATAAAAGAATGACAGTAGAAGTGAATTTTGGTTCAAGAAGCTTGTGTTCTTAAAAAAATAACAATTTTAAGTATCCAAGGAAGCTCAGAATGTGATCATTCATATTGATTTCATAATCCCTAAAAAAAATCTTTAGTCCAACAACTTCCTATCATTGTTAGACCCAGTTCCAACCCACAGGCAAGAACATAATTTTTACAGAAACCAGTGTGATCCTGTTTCACCAATGAATATAGTATAAGTTTCAAAACTTACCTCATTGGATGGGTCTGAGAATTATGGGCATTGAAGGCCATGAAAGTATTTTGAAAAGACCTGAGTCCTCTATAAACTACGAGTAACAACGCTGAGAGTTGTTTTCCACAACCTTAAAGAATGAACAGGAGGACTCTAAAGTGATCTGCGTCACTTCAGCTTCCGGTCAGAGTTTGTAGGTGGTCAGGTTAGATTTCATCTAACCAGCTCACACTCACTTCATTGTTTTGTCAATAAGCTATTCTTTTTTTTTTTTTTTTTCAGTACCAGGGATCGAACTGAGGACCTTGCACTTGGGACACAGGTGCGGTACCACTGTGCTAAATCCCCAGCCAGTAAGCTATCCTTATTTGAAGGTTTCACTCATGATTGCCTGACCTCATTCTCCTTCGGCTTTGGTTTTGATTAGCTGTTGTGTCGTTTTCCCCATCTTTACAGAGACCTAAGGGACATGGTGTTCTGGCAGAAAGATACAAAACATACTTGCTGGGGTTCAAGGAAGCTAGTTCACCTGCAGTAAAATGAGGCAGTCTCTATGGAAAAATACTTTTATGTACCTGAAAATATATGTAACAGGATGCAAATTTTCATTGTTCTAATTATAGCATTTTAACACTTCAAAATTTTTACCAAACATAGATTCTTACATTGCCATTGGATTGTGTCATGCTACTTGGAATACACACCTCTCATAATATTAAATGTTAAAACTGGAAAAGTATATTACAATTTCTGCTTTCTTAATATGTGAATCTAATAGAAGAGAGCTAATAAATATAAAAGACAATCTCATTTAAATAAATGAAATTAATATTTGTGTGGCACTTTATAAGATACAATGTGGTTTTTGTAAATACCTCATTTAATTCTTTCATTTTATAAATATTTCATTTAATAATTTCAGATATGAGGAAAAAAATTTCAGCAACATTTAGTGAAATATATATGTATGTATGCCTGCCTATATGTGTGTGTGTGTGTGTGTGTGTGTGTATATAAAATTATGTGTATGGAAAGGTGTTGAAGTAGAAACTCAAGTATGGCTAACCCCAAATCCCATATTCTTTTACTATACTACATTACTTCATGTCAAAATGTAAATTAATATCTACAGTAACAGATAATTTTAGGATGGTAGATGCAAGAATAAATACAGGACTTAAACTGTATTATATTATTTAAAAGTTCCATGATAACGCTACAAAGTAAGAATGTTACTATTCAAAGTTTGCAGGTGAGGACACCAAAGCTAAAAAAGACTGAATAGCTTTTCCAGCTCACATAGCTAACAAGGAACAGAAGTGAGACTCAAATCCCAGTATGAATGATATAAAATGTGTTGTACTCACCATGACTGCACTGATTTTTAGTTGCGGGAAAATTTTACATTAATTAATCCTGTATATCACAACTTGAATTTTTTTTCAGGAAACAAAGGGGAATTTTAATCAGACATTTTTTTTCTAGCCCCCAATCTCAAATTTTGTAGAAACTGACAGCTTACAAATTGACCAAACGATACCAGTGGAAGATGTGTTGCTTAAAACAGGAATAACAAAGAAACTAAAGTCTAATTTAGCCCATATAGACCAATTCCTGTTTATAGATTCAAATTTATCCTTATGATCCTATTTGATTCACTAGCATCTTCTCCATTTCTTCCCCAAAATTTGTCTTTCTTAGTTCCAATTTTCCTCATTTTTTCCTAAACACTCTGTCATCTATATCAAGTGTTAGTGCTATTTTCTCTTTTTACTGACATACAATATTTGTTCATATTTATAGTGTTGAATATGATAAATTGACCTACGTGTACAATGCATAATCATCAGGGTAAATTAGTATTTTCATCTCTTCAATTTCCATCTCTTACTATTTCTTTGTATTGTGGGCCTGGCCTCATCTTTCCAACCAAACTTCTCAAGCTTGTCCGTGACTTCCAGGTTAGTATAGTCATCAACTCTCAGGGTTCCACTTATCTGGGTCATAAGCAACATATGTTGTGTATCCGTCTGTCTTCCTGGATACACTTGGCTTCTGGAGTGTCTCATTCTGCTGTCTCTCCTCCTATCTAACCAGCCACCCATTCTCAAGCCTCCACATAGATGCCTTTTCTTTTTCCCAACCTAGGGTTAATCCTGGGAACTCTTCTCTAATGACTCACATTTCCTTGATGAGCTCATCTAGTTCTGTGGCCTTCAATCACATCTATATGCCAGTGTCTTCCTATTTTATATCTGTAGGCCAGACCTCTCTCCTGAATTCCAGATTGGATTCAACTGCTTACAGAGCATCTTCATGTGCATTACTAACAGAGATCTCAAATTTAATCACGCGTAAAATTGGACCCCCATCTTCATCACAGTTCCACCTTCAACATCTAGAAAAAGTCGCTGGCACACAAAGGTGCTCAATAAAGCTGTTCACTTGAATAAATATACAGCCCGGTCAGAGGAACACAAATCTGAAGAACAGAATCACAGTGATATAGTCTGCAAATAACAGGCCTAACTTTTAAAAAATAGTGTAGTCTGAATCACTTACAAAAACCCAGTAATCACAGTCCTGAAAGTTGAAGCTGTCTATAGAACTCGAAATTGGTTTTGTTTTTGGCATAGAAGTAGGCATTTATTATTTTTTTGAGAAATGGTTTTTTCTTTTTAATTTTTATTTATATTAGTATAGATTAATCCCAAGGGTAATTATTATGTCATATCACAATATATACAGATACAATAAGATTCCATTATAATTCATGCTTATCATTACATGAATTCCAGGATACCATGGCTTAAATAGCATCCTCTAACCTATTACCCATTCAACAAAAACAGCCTAAGAGAAATACGGTCTAATTCTATGAGTTATAACTACTACCCATTAAAATAGCTCTCATTGAAGTATAATTTACATATCATACAATTAACTCATTTTGATTATATGATCTAATAATTCTTAGTAAATATATACAGTTGGCAACCATGACCACAATTCAGTTTTGGAATATTCTCATCAATCATTTTGTGCTCCTACCTCCAGCCTGGGGTAGCTTAATCTATCTTTAAACACTGGAAAACTGACACTATTTTTAAGGGCCACTTGTGGCCTAGATACCTAACTAAACATTTCACATATGTTATCTCCACCCTATGACACTCATATGAGGTATTTTTTACAGATAATGAACACAAGGCTCAGAGAAGGTAACCAACCTACCCAAGGAGAAGAATCTCAATTATCAAGCTTACAAAAATAACCTGCCTATGGAAGCCTGTATTTTAAAGATATCCAAGAGGTAATTAATATGGTACAATGAATTTATAGAATGCTACCATCCAAAACCAAGTAAGAAGAATGAATTGTGCTGTGTCCTGGTTTAATTCCATCATCACCTTCTATAGAAATCAACCATCTGACTTGATGCTAAAAGATGGCTCTGCCTCGCCCATACCTCAGCTATGGAAATGGAACTTTCAGTGTTCCTTGGCATCTATTTAGAAACTGAGGACATTGCCATGTCTGATCTCAAATTTAGCTCATCACTACGTTCTTCATATAACATGCACCCATGAGATAAAGAGGTATGTGGTCCATTCAGACAGACAGACCTGCGCCTGAATTCCTATGCTTAACATAGCTGAAAAGTCATTGTAAAATCTATATAACTCATCCAATGAGTATATTAGTCTAGGAGCAATAATATCTGATGTATGTCAATACAGATAAGGTTGACTACATTTTTTACTTATTTTAATTGAGTAGCCATTTGCAGGTATCTTCTTTTTTTTTTTTTTTTGGTACTGGGGATCAAACTCAGGTCCTTGCGCTTGCACAGCAGGCAGCGAAACCACTGAGCTAAATCCCTGGCCCCAAATTGAGTGACCATTTGATTGTGGTAACATTCTACTATAATCTCTAGATTTTCAAACTGGACAATTAGAAAAGACAGATCAGATACAGCCCAATATCAGTGTCATGCTACCATAATGATTTGCAAAGATGAACAACTGTTAGTTTCCTTCTGTTATTACCCACTGCTAAATTTAAGAAAAAAGATAGTACAGCTTATTTGGAATTTTGTATCTACAGTAACGGATTCTCTTGTGTTGAATACATTGCTGGCATCAAGTGACCGATGAAATAGATAGGCAAACTCATGCTCTGAAATGCTATACAATTTTTGGTTCCTTATAGATGCCTACAGCTTTGATAACTGTCAGGAGAATTCAGAGGACTCCTTCAGCCTGAAAATGAAGATGGAGGCCTCACTTGAATGAATCCTATAATTTCCACCTCCTGTCCTTGCCAAGAATGAAGTCACTCAGCAGCAGACTCCCAGCTCCTTATGCTTTGTGCAGCAAAGGCTGTTCCTTAGCAACCAATGTCCACAAATAGGTTTCCAAGGAAACCAGGAAGCTCAATTTATAAAACTATGAAACAAAGCAGCTGTAAAGGCTACATTAGACACAGCAGGTAACCTTATTCTTCTTATCATTGCTGCAGACCTACCTGTGAAGTGGTAGAGATATTTCATTTTTAAATGTTTATCGAAAAAAACAGTTTCTAAAGTATGTCACATTACCTCTTGACCTTGGCATCTCTCTAAAAAATGGCAAATACACTTGTAAGATTTAAATGAAAAATAGCATCAGAATTTTTTATGTTAAAAATAGATAGTAATTGAAGGAGAAGGATATTTTTTAAATCATCTGCAAAGTATAAATTTCTTCCAGATCACAAGTAGAATTCTACTGATTTCATTTCTGTATAAAACAAGTAGATGCATTTGCCAAGCTCATTTCCATTGGTTCTGATGCATTATTATTACTGTTTTCTGAACAACACATTTTTTTTCATGTAGTGGGTAATAGATCGGAGCACAGAATGAGGGGGAAATATAAATGATGATGAAGCCAATAAAACATGGATATTACTTACAAGCTACATCTGAGTATTTCAGGAAATAGACCATATGTCATATGTCACCAACTGCTTCATAACTTAAAATTCCCAAATCATTTTACAAAGGCAAGTAAATTACCATTTCTATGAAAAAATTATCTTCATCACTCTCACTTAAAATAGCCACAGATCTTTGTGAAAGTTATTTAACCTTTGAGCCTTAAATCCTTGTTCATAAAATATGAATGGACTTAACAATTAAATGAGACCATATGTACAATAACAGCCTAACTACAGTGAGGACACTAAAAAAATGCTAGTCCTTCCTCTTTGACTCCTTCTTTTGAATATACAGTATCATGTATTTCTTATCCTCATCTCACTTTCTTTTTCTTAAGAGGAAAGAGAATCAGGGCTGGGGATTTAGCTCAGTGGTTACGCCACCTGCCTCACAAGCACAAGGTCCTGAGTTTGATCCCTGGTACCAAAGAGAGAGAGAGAGACAGACAGAGAGAGAGAGAGAGAGCGAGAGAGAGAGAGACAGAGAACTAATTCATGTAATCATTTGGAGAAGTAAAGAGAAAGAATAAAAATAGATTCATGCAAAAATAAAATGTTTAACAATGAAAAATTATATTTAATAAATGTATGCAAAGAAATGCTGAATGAGGTAAGTTATTGTATTTCAGCATGTCGATAATATGAGATGCCATATAAGGTGTTGGTCAAAAAATATAATGTTTTGAAATTTTTAAAAATGTACTATGTAGAAAGACACATTGCCATTACTCCTCCTCAAAATATCCCGCTTGCTTCAAATATCCTTGTCTTATCATTCTCACCACTTTCTGAAGCAGTTCTGGAAGTACTATTTGTGAGTGTTGTTAGTGGTGCATATTGTGGCTGCCTTGATGTCCTAAATTAATTTGAAACACTTACCTTTCACAGTCACTTAGACTTTAGGGAAGAGCCAGAAGTAGCATCATGTTGGATCCAGTGAATAAAGTGGATGAGGACACACTGTAATGTTTGTACGAACCTGCCTTTTCCATTGAATGGCAAAAAGCAGCAGCATTCACTGTATTTTTTTTATCATACCTCATAAAGACACAAAAGAATACTTTCAGAACTATTTCAGAAAGTAGCAAGAATGGTGAGATAAATGTGTTTGACATGAGGGGGAGCATTTCAAGGGGGATTAATGCCAATGTATCATTTACTGTAATAAACATTCACCATATTTTTCCTTCACTCCTTATAATACTCTCTTATCTCTTTCAAAAAGGTGAACTATACCAGGATTTTGCAGGCAAATACCCAGTTATCGTCAACCTTATTTTCAAATATTATCTTTATTTCCCTGGTCTTTCTTATTGAATGAAACCAGTTCCTAAAAATAGCTGACACTCATTTCTCAAAAATAACATGAGAGGGCCAGGGATTTAGCTCAGTGGTTCTGCCGCCTGCCTTGCAAGCACAAGGTCCTGAGTTTGATCCCTGGTACCAAAGAGAGAGAGAGAGACAGACAGAGAGAGAGAGAGAGAGAGAGAGAGAGAGAAAGAGAGAGAACTAATTCATGTAATCATTTGGAGAATTCCTGTAAAAGCCAATTGCACCTGAGCTCTCCTTTCACTCTTGCTACTATGTGCCAGTAAGATTACTCCTGAAAACTCTTCCTCTACATATTTTAACTGAACAATTTTCAAGCCTTGTTCTCCCTGGCAGAACATAAAATGACCACCCTTCATATATCGGTAGTGAAATTATATTAATTCAATGGTTTGTTGACTCCTTATGATCTACACAGTGCCACTCCAAATGCTAGAGAATGAGGGACAACTAGTATAATTTTAATCACAGACCAATTCACTTCCATTTTCAGCATGATGTGCCCTTAAATATTTGAAGATGGACACTCTGTCCAAGAAAGAATAATGGGCCAAGATTTACAATATAGTTTCGTCTTTCACATCTTTTTAAGAAATCTCAAACAAGTCACTTAACGTTTCTAACTTTATCTTCTTTGTCTAAAATATGGAAGGATGGTGAAGAGAAGGGGTAGGAGTAAGAGAAAAGAAGGAGGAAATGTAGGCAAAGAAGAAAATGGTGCCACTTACTGAATACTTAGTATCAGTACATCACCAAGTGCTAAGAGCTTCTTACCTGGCCAATGAGGTTATTACTCAATTCTGTCCCAGTTTACAAATGTATATACCATTCTCACCAAGGTGAGACCATTATTAACTGCTAACTATTCTGTTTTATCTCCCTTCTTCATCCCAGCCTCTTTGTCTCAAAAATTATAGCATATTTTGCATACATAAACTTTCCAGACTAAACAATCCCAGTTCCATTAGCTACTTCTTATGTCATTTGCATTTTTCAAAATTCACAGCAATTGGCCTTTCCCCTTTTTAAATGCCTACTTGTTTGCCAATATCCCCAGGAAAGGGTCAGTGGAATAATTTGATATTTGTTAATTAAGGTATTAAATACCAAGTACTCTCTCTGCTAACACTGGAGACAGTCACTGTGATCAATCAGCTTCAAGTATATTAATGCAAATGACTTTTAAACATAAAAATAATGTAAACAAAATTGCTATAATAAGGCATAAACAAGATGAAATGGTATAAAAGTAAAAGGAGGCCCAGATACATCCAGTAAGGTAAACAGATTGTTTTAGTTATTTTTCTCTCATTGCTGAGACAAAATATCTGACACTCAAAGTTAAAGGGGGAAAGGTTTATTTAGCTCACAGTTTGTAGAGGTTTCAGTCTATAGTTGGCTGGCTCTAAGGCACAGAGGCACGTGGCAGAGGGGCATCACAGAACAAAAATAGTTCACTGAACTCAAAGGACAGCAAAAGCAACAAGGGGCCTTAACAGCATCTTTCTGCTCCTTTTATCTTCTCTAGACTACTTAGGCTAGGTAGAACTCACACCCTTAACCCTAGTGCCCTTGATCCTAGCATTGCACCATGAATCAATCCCAGGGTCACACACTCTAAAACCAGCCACCTATTACAAAGGCCCATCTATGACTGAATAAGGCTTTCAGAGGACATCTGGATGCAAGCCACTTGGAGGAAGGCACAGAGATGGCCACCTCACCAACACAACACACCATGCTATATAGGTCCTTGGTCTGTAATTGCCTTAACATGTCACAATAGATGGTTTTCTTATTCTGGTTACTTGAATCTACATGACTTTCATGAATTAAGAGTGTGAAGCTTTGCCCTGGCCATTACTTCTACAACTGATATAGAAGACATAAATGGAGAACCTGCAATATCATAAACATTAATGTGACTTTGTAAGGTCTCACCCATAATTTTAGTGAGATATAATATTAGAATCTCATTAACCAGTATATTAATAAGATAATACCATGGACTAAATTTTATGTCTCCTTAAAATTCATATGTTGAATTCCTAATTCCCAATGTGATGGTTCTCAGAAATGGATCCTTTGGGAGGTGATTAAGTTTATATCAAGTTATAAGTGTTCAGCCACTATCATGGGATTTATGTCCTTATAAGACAGAAAAGAGAACCCAAAGCATTATCTCTCTTTTGTGAACCAGGAAAAGAATCCTCAACAAGAACTCAATCTGTGAATACCCTGATCCTAAAATTTACCCACCTCCAAAATCATGAGTAGATATTTATTATTTAAGCTACTTGGTCTATGGTATTCTGTTACAGCAGCCCAACTGACTAAGACAATACGCATCTTCACCATTTATGTCTTCTTTCAACACACAGCCAGACTGGTCAAGATACTGCTGGTAGGATCAAGCCTTGGGTTGCGCCACTAAAGCTCTTTCAGGTTAGCAATGATCCATTATCTATACCAACTGGATATAGTTCTGCAATTTGGTGTAAATCTTTCATTTTTCTTTCATTTCAGCCACAAGCAAACCATATTTTATTAAATTATTTATTTAAAATGGCATATAAGTTGTATATATTGAAACATTTTGGAATGTTTAGAGAGCTGAGTGATCTATATGTGAAATATCTGAGTGCTGGAGCATGCGGGTGGTAAAACACCAAAAACACAGTTGAAAAGCTAATGGAAATGTAAAGTAAGATTAACTTTTGATAGAGTTCCAAAATGGCCTTATTTTAAGGGAATTTGAAATAGAGATACAAGACATTAATAGACTATCATTTTGTGCTTACAATTTTATATAAGTGAATCATCTCCAGAGAGAAAAAGTAGGCCTGATTATATGGACTTAGCATTTTGTGCCAGGCCCATACTATTTGGGAAAGCACCCATCCCATAAAATGTCACCACTGCATTAAGGGAACGTTATTTGGAGAAGATGAATGGAAAAGGCATGAGGAAAATAGACTCTGACAAAAGGGGGATTTTTGCCAGGGAGAGACAATCAATGAAAGAATAGGACATGGCATGAAAACATATGACATTGCAGAGACTGTGTGTCTCAGTAGCAGAAAAGCCCCAGTTGCTACATGATTAGAGATGAAGCCATGCCAAGGTGATCTTGGAAATGCACAGAAAGTGAGCCCACAAAGTCACCATAGGTCAGGACAGAGGAAACAATGTGGCGGTCATGTACAAAATGGAGAGTGATCTAAAAGCTCAAGTTTAAACTCACTGTCCATGATGATGAATACGAAAAGAATACTGTGGATGAGGACCTAGAAAGCCTCAGGAATTTAACAGGCAGGATAAGCAGAGAAAAGGGGATGTTAATAGAAGCTCTAGCTTTAAACACCAAGGTACTCACTATCAACAAAATGATTGGGAATATCCTGCTACCTAAAGCAAGGAAAATGAGTTGGTATAATTTTAAATAAATTTATTGATGCATTGAAAAAATGCTCCATCAGTAGCTGGGGATACACAAAGGAAAATGATTAAAAAGTCATTCAGAGGTAATTGTAGTTGTGCCTTACCAAAAGCTTGGGGAGCCAAATTTGTTGGGATTCTGAATTTTTCAGGTTTCAGAAAAACAGCACAATATCTATATTAGATATCACATATCCCCAACAGTGGCATCTGGACAGTGACCCATGCTCAGCACATTAATAATCTTGAATTATCATATATACATGTTCACATCAGGTGGGATAAATAATGACTAAAAAACTCTTATATCAACTGGGGTCAGGTTTTACCAACAATGAAGTATGAAAAAATTTCTGTGATTGAAGATTGAGAGTAGCAGAAAAGGGATTGTGGACCTATATGTTCAGTGATTGAGAGTTAATGAAGAAGAAAGAAAGAAAGAAAGAAAGAAAGAAAGAAAGAAAGAAAGAAAGAAAGAAAGAAAGAAAGAAAGAAAGAAAGAAAGAAAGAAAGCAGAAAGAAAGAAAGAGAGAAAGAGAGAAAGAAAGAGAGAACCAAGACTAGTTGCTAAGTGATAACCTGTGGTAAGGTACCGAGGCATTAGAAAGGAAAGCAAAAAGATGTGTATAAAAAATCAGTGTGACAACCAAAACCAAGGGAAAAAAACGAGATGGAAAATCTGCTAATGTCTAATCCCTAAAATATAGGAATTCAACAAGATGCTTCTGTCCATCTATCATTATCTTACAGAGTGAGGAAAATAAAATTGGAAATATTCATTAAGGTCAGCAGCATTTCAATCTGATACGTCAGTTTCCTTCAGTGGTTTGAAATTTAACTATTAGCTTTTTCCAGATGGCACTCATCTAGTAAATCAGTCTGTATCAGTCTTGGTTCAGAAATACTTTATGTGGAAATAAACAATTTATTTCTCCCATTATTTCAATATTTAGCCTGCTTTGGATTTGAGTTTACTGAACCTAGGACATAAAAATACAATATAACCCTTCCAGTTGCATCTCCACAGGTATTTTTGTATCAAATATTGTTTGTATTTTTCACCTTTTTTTCCCAAGATAAGGAATCCCTTTTTGTTATTGGAAAAGGTGTAGATTTTAAACTAGTGATTCTCAAACAGGATGAATTTCCTCCCCAAAGATATGTGACAGTTTTTGGAGACATTTTGGGTTGCCACAACATGGGTCAGGCATTCTGCCATCTGGTTGGTGGAGGTTGTGAATAATGTTAAACACATTACAAAGCACAAAACTGCCCTTTACAACAGATTTACCTGGTCCAAAATGTCAATAATGCAGTATTGAGAAATCCTGCTTTAAATAATTAAAGACCTAAATATTTGGCAGAAGTTTTACATCATTCATATGAAAGAATAAGCATTTCAATGGGTACAAAAATTTAATATAACATTAATTAAGTGGTTGAAATGAAAGTAACTTTTAAGAGAAAAAGATTAGAATAATTATCAACATAATGAAGCTAAGAACACAATGTGACTCAAGTGGATTTCTACCAAATTATTCCTTCTCTTAACACCTCATTAAATAAGGTCTAAAGAAGCCTTACAAAAACAATGTCAATTTTGAAGACACAATCTCATTACTCAGTGCATCATTAAATAACATTTTTGGCCAGATTATGAAATGATAACGAAACAAGAAAAATATTCAGTCACATTTTTAAAAAAATTAAGTATTCTAAAATCTACTGGAGGAGACCACTCACAGTTCAAAAGAATAGAAGGCAGATTAGGTGGTTTTGAAATGCAGATCTTAATAGCTAAATTAACAGGTTATACCTAATGTACCATTAAAAAGCAGGTACTCACATCCCAGAAATGGTATCCTTGGAAAGTTTCATTGTTCTGGATTTTTAACCTGTATCTGGGTAGAAAGTATTGGAAACTGGCAGCTCCATTTCCTGTTCCTATTTCACCACACACACCTAGGAAGGCCTCATAATTTAACGAGAATGGTATCAACCATTGCTTTAATATGTTCTCTCACTTCTTCCACGAAACATAACATTTATCCAATTTAAGTAGAAAGAGTGTAGAAATTAAACAATAGTATAGGCTTACACACATATTCTTTAAACTTCGAAGTGCTCCTATAGACTGAAATAGAGAACAATTGACTTGAAAACTGTAGCACTGTGTATAGGCACTGGGTGAGCATTAGCTAATGAAGGTGGAGAGGCCACCAATCTGTCCCTCCAGACAATCTTATATTCAGCACTGATATTTTAACAATCATTGGTATGTATCATTTGTCATTTAAATGATTGAATAAGTGTGTAGAGAGGAGTTGCATTCCCTAGAGTCACTGCATCAAGGGGGAGTGATGGTGTCACCAACATTTCCAGTAACATCTGCAAAACAATTACAGTCCTTGTTGAAAACATTCCAAGAGATCAGTTTGCAAACCTCATGGAAATCAAAACTGCAGAAAGCACTAAAAGTGAATAAAATACTTTTCATATGAAAAAGAGACAAATCCATGGACTGGATTAGACAAAAATCTGAACTCATCAGCCTCAGTTCCTATCTACCATTTTGTCTTCTTTATCCTTCTTTATCCTTGCCTCTCATGCTCCTCTGTGGACTAAAGGAAATATTCAAAAAGTCACAGTCAGCAAAAGGCAATAGTTGTCTCATAAACTCAGCTCTTTGTGAGTTAAAGTTATGGTTAGGTTGCCTATCTGCCTAGGGTTCTTTTGCTCAACTTATAAGAAATCATGAATTGACAAAGGGCAGCTCTTGATGACACCAGATGGCACTGGATAATGCTGGATGCCAACAGGTGACACAGCCAACTGCTGGTCTCTTCTGCTGCCAACCAATGCCAGCCAGTGCTGGACACCATAGGTTGATTCTGCCATCTGCTAATTATCCTTGTCTGTTGGTCTTTAGTGATAACAGCCCTTGATGTTTATTGTCCCTTCTTTTGAAATGACCACTTTGTTTATACTACTCAGGATAAGAATCCCAAGTAAGTTTGTAGGACTTTTGGAGACCACAATACCCAAGAAATAAATCATAAGCAGGATTACAGATCACCAACATGAGTATTTTAATAGGGCTTATGCTGTAGCACAGAGGAATCAGTACACTGGAGGGAGCCCTCCTAGACTAACTTGAGAAGTGTGTGAAAAGTACTGCTTATATGGCAGCTGCAGGTCTATGACTGGTCCAAGTACAGGTCTATTATTGGTGCAGGGCTCCGGGACAGCCTCAGGTGTCACTGTGGTGATCCAATGAGGGGGCAGGGCTGAAACCAGGGGTTTGGGGAGGTGTTAACAATGGGCCCAGATCCCTCCCTTCTTCAATAAGGCACCAGCTGCATCTGAAGGGGCTGGAATGAGGGAGGGACACAGTAGAATTGCACTTATGTTGGAGTGGAGTGTACTTGCTACTAGATAGCCAGGGAGTGGAGGGGAGAGGATTGAGGGGGAGCAAAGGGACACAAGGAGGAGAGGTATGACAGTAGCTGGCCAAGTTATGCCCCCCAGTGGGGGGTGGGGGATGGTAGGATCATCTCAGTTATAGGGAATGGACTCTGTCCACAAAAGTTGTTTTTTAAAATATCTTTTGTGCATAAGAATCTGAAATCTCTGTTCCATTTGACAACCATCTGGATAGTATTAAACAGAGCACCCACTCATTCCAACCTAGTACCTGGAAAGTCCTTAGGAAAGGGAGGTTCAAGGAGTAAAGAATCTATTGTTTATTAGGTAATAAAAAAGTACCATATTCAAAGAGGAAAATGCTAGGCTACCTTAACAGACCAAGATGGTGGCCTTTAGCAATGTCTGGCTTTTGCTTCTGACCAGGGACTTTAAATCCTATGTCAGTAACCTTATAAAGCTAGGATATCCTCTCATATTTCAGTTCACTGAATATTTCTAGTTTTTTTTTATTATTCCATATTTTTAAGTCTCTGCAACATCTTTCCCATCTTACAATTAAGTATTCTTTTGGGTACCTTGCC